ATTGAAAATTCTGATGGAAGGGGTTGCAAGTAATTAACCATAATTTTTCTAAATTTAATAATGAAATAAAATTTTTTTGGAGAGGGGGTATGTAATATAGAATTTCTCATACGAGTCATTCTATATTAACTGGTAAGCTTAAAACATATGTTTCTTATCAAGTTTAAGATGTAGAAGTCGGTCTCTCACAAAGAGCCATAAAAAGTCAAGATGAACCAGATAAGGCCAGATAAAAGATTATTTTCTGAAGTTAATGGGCTATAATTCGACGATGAAGATAGTCCCAGAAAGTTCCCACCGTCAGAGTGGCGAGATACTTTTAGCGAATCAAAACCTTTAAATTTTATAAATTGAATGACGTTTCATTCAGATAAGAAAATACTTGCAACCACGCCCTCTCAGAATCTCACTTTAAAAGCTCAGGACAGGCAAAATTGAGCGTCTTTTCCATATTTTCAATGGCTAGATAAAGCTGGGCCAATTCCAACAATCCCTGCAAAGGGGGAAACCTGATGTAAATATCCCACGCATAATGTTTGCAATACTCCATCTAACGAAATAAAATGCCTTTTTAACAGAAGCAGCCTAAGTCTCTTCAATTATCTAGCCTTTAAAGACGTAACATGACATATATATATATATNTCTTATAGTATATATATATATATATATACAGAGATGATTGTGCTTCGGAAAAAATCCTGATTTCCAGATTTTTCACTAATTGCTATCCGGAAGTCCAAGGTTCAGAAGTTTCAAGAAATCATCGATCACATTTATGTATTTAAATTCTTGTATATTTTATTTAAAAATATTAGAACTAGAATTCATGCTTGGCATGTCTTTCATTTGTAAATATTTCTTCTGGTAGAATAATAAATGAGATTAGAGATAAAAGTAAACTTATACGTAATTATACAATTAAATTATGCTGCATATAATTTATTTAGAATCTCATGTTTTGAAAATATCAATGATTTAAATTTATAAAGACATTAATTTTTTAAAATGCATCGTTAATTATTTTACTTAAGAAATTTTTGAGTTGGGCTCCCAATTACCCCTGTATGTGTATATATGTATATAATTTGGTTATTAAAATTACAGGTTCTGAGGTATTAGAACCAGGACAATTATGTGGACAAGGTTTAAATGAAGATGCAGCCAAAAGCTTGGGTCTAAAAACTGGTACTCCAGTTTCTATATCAATTATTGATGCACATGCTGGTGGTCTAGGTAATTTTTTGAAATGAAATACTTTTATACTGTAATGAAAATTATATTGCTAAAATATACCTGCAACAAATATAATTTCATGATAAATTTGAGATTTGATTATATGATATAAATTTGAGATTTGATTATATGAAATAATAGTTAATATAGAGGAATGTAAATGTATTTATATTAAAGCTGTATATTACTCTCTCTAATGTTTTTCATGTTTTGACCAGAATAATTTTTCTTGGCTAAGTCTCATGTGAGTTATAATTACATCTTACTATCTTTAATACAAATGATCTTTTAAATATGAAGTATATGAACTAAGACAAAAATCTTATCTGTAAGGTTTTTACAGACAAAAAAATATGCTGTGATTTATTATAATTTTATTAAAAATTGTACTCTTTAAATAATCATTTATTTCTTTTAGGTGTGCTTTCTTGTTCAAGTACTATTGATATGGGAAATATTGAACAGCGTCTTGCTCTAATATGTGGTACATCTACTTGTCATATGAAGGTTTATGAATGTATTACAAAATTTGCTTTGAAAAGACAGCGCATTATTGAAAAATCATTTTTTAAATACATTTTTCCTTATCTAGGTCAACAAAACACAGTTATTTACTTCAGGAGTGTGGGGTCCTTATTTTTCGGCAATGATACCTGGATATTGGTGTAGTGAAGCTGGTCAAAGTGCTGCCGGAGCTCTAGTAAGTTTCTTCATTTTTGTATATAAAACCTTATTTCTTATATTTCTCAGAATATTCTTTTAATTAAAAAAAATAATATTTTAGATAGGGAAACTATTTTAATTGTATGATAACATTGAATTGATTTTAACCTCATAAGAGAAAGGTTGTTGCAAAAAAATTTTTTCTTAAAAACTTAAATGTGTAGGAGAAACGGGCACTGTTTGATCAGTACTTGTGCTCATTATCAACTAAATTACTTCACTTGCATAGTTACCAGCAACACATGATTTTTTAATGCAATTTTTCATTAGCTTTTTTATTTTAATGTGTTGCTTTTATTTTCTAATGTATTTTCTTGTTTAAATTGATAGTTTTCATGCATTGTTTCTTTAAAGGTTGTTTTAAAATTTCTCTTTGTTTTTTCATGTTCGAGAAATAATTTCTTTCAAATTATTTAGATCTTGAGATTAAATTCATTCATAATGTATTGTGTAAGTAACATAACTTTCACAATAATTTATAAGAATGCACTTCATTATAAGAATAATTTTAAAAATATTTCTGTTGTTTGGAAAGTTATTCAAACTTGGTTATTTTTATTGTTAGAGACATAAATTCAGGATGCACTACTTAAAAGATGGCTTTTTTATTTATAATCATTATAATTCAATTATAATCATTATAATTTATTTATAACCATTATTTATAGAGGAAGTTAAGAAAAAATTATTATCAATTTTAATTTAGATTTATACGAAAGTGTAAAGTGTATTCCATGTAATTTTGATTAATACGATTTTTACAGAAAAATTATTCTTTTCAAGTTTTTTTTTCTATTTAGATTTATCTTTTTTCCATTGATATTTAATCTGAAAAATATAAAATAGCTAATTATTTAAACAATTTGTTCCCATGTTAAATGATTTTAAACTAATGCCAAAGGTAATGTGGGCATTTCTGTCTAAAATTTCAACAACATTTAAGTTACATTATATCAAACAAAACATTACATTGAATCATAAAAATAACAGATCATAATTTAAAGTTTTTCTGTGTTTTTAAGTAATAAAGTAACAGATGTGGGTGCATTGAGGGAATAGTTCTGTTTTTTATTCCAAGGCCTGAAAGTATCCCAAATAATTTTTTACTTTATTTTTTTAATATTTTCTAATTTATTACATTGTTTTATTTTATTGCCATAAGTGAAGAATATTACTAAGTAGATTTCCACTGTCGTTTCCAATCCAATCCTTTACAAAATATGCAATTTACTATATATTATACAGGTCACTTTAAATGTTTCTAAGATGGTAAAAATTGGTATATATACTGAAAACTGGAGCATCTCTCTTTACATGCAAAAATTTATTTAAAAAAGAAACTACAGGTTTTCTGTGTGTGTGTGTTTTTTTTTTCTTTTTTCCTTTTGGAAAACAGTAAAAAGAATGATGCAAAAATTAACTTAAAATACCAGAAATAAAAACTACAACTGCGGAAGATAATTATGTACATTTTGCTTTTCATCTAGAAACAAGCTTCTGTCGAAATGTACTCCCCTAAAAATGTTTTAATTAATTGTTTCAAATCGCTGCTGCATTTTAAATCCATTATAAATACTATTGTGGCTGATGTAAACCTTGCTAATTTGTCTATTTTAGTACTTATCATTTCCTATATAATGTGTTAGTGCAAGTGTATTGGTTTAATAATTGTATTTTTTAATAATTGCATTTGTGTATGGGTTTATAAGTGTATAGGTTTAATAATTATTTTAATAATTGTATTTTAAAAATGTAATCTGCATGCCATGAAGATACAAAATCACTTTTTCTTTTTATTCAAGAAAATACTTTAAATGTTATTTTTTTTTGCACAATTTGATCTTTTTTCAAAATAAATACAAACTGTTTTATTATAAACAGCTAGATCATGTCATCAACTCTCACCCAGCATCGGCTGCTCTAAAAGAGCAAATCGTTCTTCATAATGATGGCAGGTAATATAGAAAAATTTAATTTTTCTTTTCTTTTAATGTATTTTATTCCTGATTGAATAGTGTTATTTCATATTGTAAAACATATATTAATTTAACAAACTACTCATGCCATAATATTTTTAACAGGATAATTAAATTTAGATGAATGTTTTTAAACTGGAAATTTGTAGTAGATTCATGCCATTTGATAAAATTAATAGCTTAATTTAATAATGTAAACAATTAGTTTCAGTTTAAAAATGCTTTTTTTTTTTTTTTTTTTTTTTTTTTTTTTTTTTTTTTTTTTTTTTTGTTCTGTTCACCTAAATGCAATGCAAGTGCGCTTGTTATTTATTTTTGTAATTAACTTAATTTTTTTATTTAAAAAATTCTAAAAATTCTAGCTTGAATACTTATACAATTAATTTATTATAATTTCAATTATTTATTTAATAATGAATTTTAATTCGTAAATAAACATTCATAAATTGTAGCATTTACCCTCTGAGTATATACATTTAGGTAAGCTTATAGATAATTTTTATCTTTTATAAATCAACTTCCCTTTGAATAACATTTGAACTACCTTGTATGTAATGCCGAGAACGTATAGATTGAAAGGTAAAAAATCTAATTTCAAGTATTGAAATGATTTTTTATTCATTTAAAAAACTGAAATTCTGTGAGAAATAAATTTTATATATATATACATATATATATATATACATATATAACGTCGTTGCCGAGAGGANTATATATATATATATGATATAAGAAGAGAGTGAATTGAGAACGCATGTGAAAAGGTACTAACTTTTACTAATATTGCCTGCATAAATGTTATAACTAAGCTTACCAGCTAAAGCTTGTTGTGATTTTTATTTTATTTTGAGTATGTCTAACGATGGTGTCGCAGTTTTCCATTGTTGTAGGTGTATTTTTTAATGGACAGAAAATCACGTGGTAGGATCCAGTTTTTCCCTCATTTATTTCCGAATTGTTTTGATTGTCATCAGCATAAAATTAATAAAAGTCGTAAAGTTATTGTTTTTCTATAAATATTTTTGTATCCCTAATTTAATGTTATTTTCCTGTACTGCTATTATTACGCTTTTAATTCATGAGTTTAAAGTTAAGAGAATTGTTGCTTTTTTTATTTTTATTATGAAGTAATTATGCGCTATATTTTTTAACATAATGTTATTTAGAAAGGTGGTCTAATCTTATTAACCATTTATAAATTTTGTTTTTGTGTAAATAACATTAATATACTATTATAAATTACAGTTAAAGAGATCTGATAAATGATTTAGAACTTAATGATCAGCTTCATGCATGATGAAATGCAAGCAAAAATGGTATTTAATGTATTTGTCCGTTTGGTAAGCAAAAATATTAAATTTCGGTTATGAACGCATCAATTTGTCACTTCTGTTAATATAAAATTACTCTTCTGTTCACCTATAGATCTAAATATTTATAATATTAATAGATAATAATATTTGGATTAGGGAAGTGGAGGCACAAGCATAAGCAAATAGAATTCCTTTTAGTATATACATGTTGAGTAAATAATTTTAACTTTAGTAGAAAAACTGTTTTCTACCAAGAAACGACAATTAAGGGGAAGCAATCATTGTGGGTTGATAAGCAGCAGCAAACAGGGGGTTTAGCCCCCTAGTATATATATATTTATATATATCATTCTATGTTATGGTACTTAACACCAAATTTCTTTTTGTTAGACTAAATGTTTTGATTTTTTATTATTTAAACACTTCTTTCTGCCATTGTGTAGATTTATTTTAACCATCATATTCTTTTAGAAAATGAATCCAGATAAATTACTGGGAAAAATTTTTTACTTTTTTTAAATACCAAATGACGTTACAATTATAACATATTTGTTTGCAGACATATAACTGATTTGCTAAATGACCTAGCCATAAAGTTAACCAAAGAGAAACAACTTAAATCCTTAGCTTTTCTAACATCCGATTTCCATGTCTATCCTGATTATCATGGAAATAGATCTCCTATTGCAAATCCCAATCTGAAAGGAATGGTAAATGATTCTTCCTTGGTTCTAAATGTTTTGTCTTTTGTTTTCATTAAATTATTAATCACAGTGACGCTGTAAAAGTATGGCTGATTATAAATGAGAGATAAAAGTAAATGCAACTCTTACATTTATCATATTGTGTGCTTAAGCCAGGAGACATATTATGTGCTTTGGAAATAGTATCTGATATTAAAAAATAGGACAGTAGCGTCAATGATAATATTTCATGATATAAATAAATATATTTGGATTTTAAACTATATTTTTTTTTAAACTTGAATGTAAGGAAGAAACATTAACTTAAAAACTAACATAAAAATATATCATTATGGCTTAAACTTAATATAATTTTTTATATCACTGCAATTAAAAAAATTATAAATAAAATTAATAAGTGTAGTGATAATAGAACTTCATAATTTTAAATTCTCATTTCAAAAATGTAAAAAATAAAGTTTCAAAAGTAAATAACGAATTCAATAATTGTAAGTGAACAAGAACTAGACAGTAAAAAATATTAAATGTTGAGAGCCAATGCCCAGATCCTGTTTCGCCAAACTTGTGTCTAAAAAGCATTTTCTAAACATTAAAAGTGTCGTCGACTGAAGAACCACAAGTTTAAGGTTTAAAAAATTAAGTTTTTATTTGGAAATTGTTTCTTCCTTTCATTAGTATGCCAATTTACTAATTTGCTCATTCACTAACTCATTCCTTCCTTAATTTACTAATCAGCCAATTAATTTATTTGCTTTCTTTTCCCCTTCATTCTTTTTTCATTTGTTACATCAAGAAGCATTCATAGTCAGGGTTACTATATAGGCATGCTATTTAAAAGTTTTGTATTAAATAATTGTAAAAGTTCATATCCTTTTTCTGCAAATTAATGTAGATTTTAAAAAAAAGCAAAGTTGAGCAAACAAAAATATATTTTTTATAGATTTTTCATGATTCACATGGCAAACAGGTTAGGTATTAGAACTATCTTTTGTGTTCCTTCTTTTTGCCCATGTAGTGTTGATAACTGCCTGTAGATGTAAAGAACAATGAAATAGGCAGCTATAATTTTCTGTATAAAAGTAAAATATTTTGTTGTCATCGATCTTCAATGAATTCTATCCATTGTTCTCTCTTCAAATATCTTTCTTTATCATATCATAAATTAGATTTTAAAATATGCATTTTTAGTAGTTTTTTTTTATTTTAAAAAAACATTTAGGCAAGAAACAAAAAAATTAAAAGTCTCTTTTGACCTCTTAGTCAATATCAGTGACTACAAAATTGAGTTTACATATTATGATAAATAAAAGCACTCACAGGGAGAGAAACATGAAACAGTTAGCACAATACAAATGTAGTTTTGTTGTTATTTTGTATAATTTAACTATCCTGATAAAAAAAAGATGGTTGATTGGAAATATTTCACTTAATGATACTATTTAAACGCTTTTATTTTTTCTCATTGTTGAAACTAGCACATTTTTTATTTATAAATTTAGTTTTCTGAACCTAAAGAATTTTATTTTATAATGTTAGTGCTACTAAAAATTTAGATGCAGAATATTGAGAGTTAGTTCTATATGTTGAAAAGTACCTACAATTTTTTATAATAGGCATTTGTATGATAGATCAGGATTTTTTTTAAGAAATATTTTGCATTTTAAATACTTTTTTAATTAACTATTCAACTATATATTTGTGTAAAAATTATTTAGATTAATGTTTCATCATTAAATGATGTAGAAAAAAACTGTTTTGCTGGTCTAGAAAGCAATCCCTGCCTGGTTCAAGGTTGATACATAAAGAGATTATTTATATAATTATTGTTCTGTTTTTTTTTTTAATTGTAACCTGTCTACATACTTATAGCAATTTGATTTCCTCCATTTTTTTTTCAAGAAAAAGGTGATTCAGTATGAAGAATGTCTACTTAAATTTTCCCCAATGCTTTAAATTTTGAAGTAATAAATTAATTTACTTTAAGCATTGTACTTAGCTACTCATTAAATTTTTTTTTCATTTCAAATAACATTGTTTAGTTAACTTTGAAAACAAAGTTTGTTTTTTAAGTTTGTGTGATATGTTATTTAAATAGCTTTATTTGCACTTTTTAAATAGTTTACAATTTTCAGATATGTGGTCTAACTTTATCAAGTGAAGTTAATGACTTAATAATGCAGTATATTGCTACTGTTCAAGCATTGTCGGTAAGATAAACCTTATTTTGAATATGTAGAAAATATATGTGTTGAATAGATTTGTATACAGTTACAAATATAAGTAATAATTTAAAACTTTTTTTATGTATATAACTAAGAAATAACATTAATTTCTTTGAAGGATTTTATTGCTTACAGTACAAATGTAAATAATAAAAAAATATAGAATTGAAAGAATATTTTTTGCATGAGCAAAGCACTGCACTAGGTAGAGGCATACAAATCAATGTGCTTCCTTCTCCCTTCCTGATGCTGTGAGAGTGTATTTAGTTGGGCTAAACAGCTGTCTTGTAGAATGTGTATATAAAGCTCTTTTCTTCATCTCTGCGTTGTGTCACCATTTTTCATGATAAAAATATAATTCAATTTTCATTTTGAGTTTTTTACTGTGAGGATTATACTTTGATAGAAAAAGAGTATTTGAAAATTTTAATTTCTGTCTCTAACCATAAGGGCTGAATATTTATTTTATCATAAAAAATTTATTAAATATATGTGAAAACAAAAAATTGTGCAGTAATATGGTACTTTAAGGTGAAATGTTTAATTAAATGGCATATTTTCCTGTAACTATTTGCCAAATTTGCAAAATGTCCCCTCTGTTACACTGCATTTTTTGAAGTTAATAAAAATGTGTAAGCAATTTAAAAATTCTTATAATAATTTATTTTACCTTGAAATGTGATAATTAAAAAAAAATTACAAATAATGTTTAGGATGTTCCAAATCACAGAATATAGCGGAAATAACAGTGCATGTCAAATTTTCTTTGTCCCCTCTGTAACTGACGCTTTTAATTACCTGGCAATTAAATTATGAGGCTCTTTTATTATTTTATGCAATTAAATTAAACATTGCACTTTAAAGTAGCATATTATTGCATGATTTTTTGTTTTCACATATATTTAATACATTTTTAGGATAAAATACCTGTGTGATTTCCCCTCTGTTATGTTTGAAATTCTACCACTGCAATATATTGAAATACATGTGCCCCCCTCCCTTCCCACATTAGGTCACCTTATTCCAGGTGCAACCTGGAAGAATAAGTATTTCATTCACTAGTTACAATAGTAACAAATGTGGATTCTTTAGTGCCTTCAACCTTCAGTAAAGAAAATGAATGATCACGACAGTTATAGGAGGGGCGAAACTTGCAGAAGGATTCTATGATATTCAAAATATTTATGACATCCACAGCCCAACATAAATTTAGTGTGAGTAAAAATACAAATGAAACACTTCCCTCTTCTGTTCGGACTGTGTTAAAAATAAAGTTCTTATTTTTTATCATTGAAAAATTTAAATCTTTTCTAACCAAAACAGTTAAACATAGAAAAAAAATCTTTTAAAACTACTTATTACGTTAAAAATAGAAAGAAACTACGATTGCACTTAATTTAAAAAAGAAACGTTCTTCTAATAAGACAAAATCTTTCGTCTCCAAATCTTATGTTTCAATTATTTATTATAAAATATGTATATTACTGATAAATAAGTTTGCAGATAAGATTCACATGATTTAAAAATCACACATTGAGATTCATATTCACACAATTTATTTAAATAAATCAAATCTAGCACCGATATTTTTATTCAAACGTTGATAACATTCTGTGGACAAATACTTCCTAACATACACTTTTTATATTGCTTAAAGTTCATTTATTTTTTCAATCATTTAAAAAGTGTTTTTGTGCATAACATTTTAAGATTTCTCTTCTCAGCTTTTTTGTTTTTCTTACTAGTTAGTTTTAAGGATTGAAACTAGTTACAAGAGTTAATCAATTGCTTTCAGAAAGTTTTTTGAGATTTTGTGTCCGCTGAAAGTTTTGTATTTTATTTAAGTCTGGTCCTTAGAGTGGATGCATTCAACAATTGGAAACTAAAATTGTCGCATTTAAATTCTGTAGGTACTTTATAATTATGTTTTTAGTTCAAAGTATAAAATTAGAATTTTTTTTCAGTATAGCACTAGGCATATAATCAGTGCTCTTGAAAATAGTGGACACACGATCAAATCTCTGTTTGTCTGTGGTGGTCTCTCAAAGAATAAATTATATGTTCAAATGCATGCTGACATTACAGGTATATAGGAAATACAGTAACCTCTCATTATATTATGTGTTTGTTGAGGAACAAGATAAAAAGCCTTGATCTCAGTTAAAAAAACGCAGATTAAATAATTTTTGAAAAAATAAATATTGGTTCCACAAGCACTTACTCTAGTTTTAAGAAACTTTCATTAGTTAAGTAGAACTTTTACAAATTAAAACTGACTTTAATACTAATATACTGGTTTTAAAAATTAAAAACTGGTGTGGGTTATAAGCTAGTTTTTAATATTTCAATTTCTAAAATTTGGAGTGAGTATTATGAAACCAAGATATATTTTCACATAAATTAGTTTCTACAATTAGCTTGATTTTTTTAAACTGAGTTATAAGCTTTTGAAATCTACTAGTTCAACAATGCTTATGTGATGAAATTGACCATAAAAAAAAAATTATTAGTTAAAAAATATAATAGTAATTTTTGTAGTAAAATTTAAAACTTTATTTCATTAAGACAGGAACTGTGGATGTAGACTTTGCTGTAAAATTTAATGACTATAGAAAAATTTACTTTCTACATTTACAGTCTAACTCATCTGACGATACCAACGATTTGAATTACATCTTTTTTCAAAAATAATGGAAAACATGTAGGATAAACATCTTAAAACTTCCAAAAATGACGAAAATCAAAAAGATAAACGTCTAGAATTTTCTAGCAAATTTTTGTTATAGAGTAACAACCACTTCATTATATAGGGAATATTTTGAAAGTTATTAAGCATTTTGATTAAAAAATTTGTTATAGGAAGAAGGTCGATATAAGCAATTTGTTTGAAAAGAGACAAAAAGACAAGAGAAAGTTAGTTAATAATTTATAAAGCAAATTGCTTAGGCCACTGATGGTTCACTATAGCATTTTATTGTGTTCACTATAGTATATTATGTATCAATGATTTTATTTTTTTTACAAAGATGGTATATATTTCTCAATCTATATTAAATGAAATATTTATTTTCAGGATTACCAGTAATAATTCCATTAAACTCTGAGCCTGTAATAGTTGGTTCTGCAATCTTAGCTGCAAGTGCTGCTAAATACTATCCTTCGGTCTTGTCAGCTATGTCTTCTATGTGTGGTGCTGCCACAGTTATAAAACCCAATATTGAAGATAAAAAGTAAGAAATGATTGAAATCTGTTTTTTGTAAAGCTCAAAACTTTTTTTTAGCATAAATTGGGTTGAAAACCTGCATCCCACCAGAACTTCTGATCACACTGAATTTTTTTTCTTAAAGAATAAAAAAAAATTTAAATTTTGAATTGCAAAATTGAGTGATCACTTTTTAATTCGTTCAATTTGCACAGATTTCATTGTAAGCCTATTTCATTTCTCGATCGCCTTTTCAATGGTTATTACTACTTTATAATCGTGCAAAATTTCGCACAGTTTTTAAAAAATCCCATTTTTAATACGCTATTACGATGTGTGAATTTCGAATTAGATAAATCACTCATAATAGATATTTGCTAAATCACTATATAATGATATTTGCAGGGATGATTGTGAGCCCAAGTTAAAATTACGGAAAATTTCTTGAGTAAAAAAAAAGTTTAAATCGAAAAATTAGAAAAAAATTTAAACAAGGTTTTTCCTTTTTCTTAATATTTCTTAGTTTACTTAAAATATATTTAAAATTTTACACATACCTATGATGACCTGGAGAAGTAATTGAAATTTACAAATATGTCTTTCTATCTTGAGTTTATTATAATAACTGTTTACTGATAAAAAATGAATATTAATCTTGAATTTAAACTTATAAAGTATCAGGCTCTCCCTTACAAACAAATAAAATAAACTGTGTTTTTAAGTTCCAACTTTGAAATTTTGATTTCCGGAAACTTTTGTGATCAATGATTTTTTTAAACGTTTGAACCTTCGATCTCCGGAAACTTCCGGATCACGGTTAGCGAAAAATCCGGATTTTTTCCGGAGCACAATCAGCCCTGTATTTGCTAAATCAATTACTGATAAAAGGGAAAAAATTTTAGAAAAATTATGTTTTTTTTTATGAATTCTAATAATTAAAAGTTTTTAATTTTCTGCAAATATACTAATTTTTTTCACATAAAAACTTAGTGCTAGAGAACACTAACGTTTATATAAAAATTATCATATTTGCCACCAACTTGACTAAATGGATCATGGTATATGACAATTAAGACATTTAATAAAATTTTACTCATATTTTTGCTATTTTCATGCTTTAGGCTACTAAAAGCAACTATTTTGTTCATTTTTTATGTGGTAATTCTGTGTTTTAGACCTGAAGACCACCAATGATTTTGAATGCTGTCTAAAATCCACATAATTTTTTGATTGATACAACAATTTAATTCAATACGTGTATTTAACAAACTGTCAGTGATACTTGTTTTTTTTTTCCAGGTTCCATGACAAAAAGTATCAAGTTTACTTGTCATTGTTAAAATGCCAAGAAAAAATTGTTGAAATTATGACAAAGTGATTGTTTTGCCAACAAAATGATACTCAAACAGAAGATTTATTTATATTCCTATATATTTTTGTAAAAGAATCTAAAAATTACTTTAAATTTGTTTCTAATATAAATCTTACTAAAAAAACTGACAAATAACTCAAGATCTTATTGTGTGTTACAAAATAATGAACAATGTGACTTCCAAATGTCTTTCAGTAATAAAAAAAAAAAAAAACAAAGATGCATTTTTAATGCAAAGAGATTATAGTATTTGTTTGCATATAAAGTTAACAATAAAGTCTCAGAAACATAAGATCTTTAAACGAATGTTTTCTTTTATTTGTTGGAATATTATCAGGTTGTAATAGAAAAGCAAACTTTTTAATCTATGAAAGCATTTTCAAATAAAAAGAGATATTTTTAAAGCGAAAAAATATAGATATCTCAGGTTAAATTTTTACATTGATCAATTTAAAATTTTCAATGTATACATGAAATTAAGGTTAAAAAATCATTTTATTTTTTAACTTTTTGAAAGAAAATTCATAATAGATTTAAAAGTTATCAAGCACTATTTCTTTTCATTCAATAAAGTTATGCAGATATTTTAGACTTATCTTGTAAGGTATAAACTGTCGAATGTTTATCTATGATCAAAAAAAGTTTAAGATCAAAAAAAATAACCATAATAATTATAAATTCAAGATAGCAATTAAAGGAACCTCTTTTAAACTTCAATTGGTGTTCTATCTTTGTTTGTAATTCTAAAAAATGTCAAATTCATGTAAGTTTGAATTAAACTTTAAAAGCATAAGTTTTCATATTTATTATGGAATAATTTCTATACAATGTTTTGTCCTTGCATATACATGTGTGGCTTGATGCAAAGAAAGTGATGTAGTTTTGCAAATATTTTTCATAAATAAGAATTAAAAAAAACAAGAAAGGGTCAAAATTAACCATGATTTTATTGATGCAAATTCTTAAAACTAATAACTTCTAAGAAGCAATAATAAATGTTCAGAAAATTAAAGATTTGCCTATCTAAGCAATATACTTTACATAATTATGCTAGTAATCTTTCAGAAAATGAGAAATTATTATCGTTCATAAAAAATACAGATTGATTTTACCAAAATCTATTAAATTTCTTAGCAGAATTATCTACAACTAAAAAAAAATTACGTTAAATTTTAACAAATTACATTTATAACTCTCTGTAACAGAATAATGCATTAACCAGAGTTGTTCTGAATATATTAGTCTTGGCAACTCACACAGTGAATTTGATTTTTTTTTTAAAAAAATTAGATTTTTCACGCAATAGCTTCTCGCAGTAAATCATTAGTTATATCATCAATATTTGTGTTATTTATGACTATCATAAATGTTTCTTCCTCTTTTTTAATCTTTGTTTCTTCTAACTCTTTGTTCAAGCTTGGATCGATTGTCTTAATAACTATTTGCTCATCATTCATAATCCAAGAGTCACTACTCAATTTGGAATCAGAGTTTTTAGTGGATAAATTATTATCAGGAACAATAAAACTGGCATTTACTATGCTCGAATGTCTCAAAGCATGCCTCTTATAACTCCCCAGCTGTAGAAATTGTTTTCCGCAAGTACTGCATTTATAGGGAAGAGAACCAGAGTGAGTGACAAAATGCTTTTCAAGGTTCCCAGTTCGCTTGAAAGACTTACCACAGATATCACAAGTGTGAGGTTCTTCTTCACCATTATGCATGACAAGGTGAAGATTTAAACCAGCTTCAAGGTGAAAAGATTTTTTGCATAGGGGACATTTATAAGGCTTATCTTCACTATGTGTTTGAATATGCTTCTTAAAAAATCCAACTTTAGTAAATGTTTTACCACACGTTTTACAATCCATAGATAACTCGGATTCTTCTTCGTGTTTCTGAATGTGTCTTCTCATGCCTCCAATCTGTATGAAACCCTTTCCACAGATGGGGCAGGTGTGTGGTCGTTCACCAGTGTGTATCATTTGATGTTTTTTCAAGTCACTTAATTGATTACAAGTGCGACCACATACATCACATATGTGTGGACTCTGTCCAAGATGAACCATTAAATGAAGCTTTAAATGATGAAGCCTGTTGAATTTTCTAGCACAAATGTAACAGCTGAATGGGCGTTCTTCTTCCGGCATATGAATAATTGAGTGTTGTTTTAGCTGATTCATTTGATAGAAACTTCTGCCACATTGCTGACATGTGAAATTTTTTTCTTTATCCATTTTTTTATTCCTTTTTTTGTTGTTGATGGAGCAACAGAAAAAATATGCAGAAAAGATAACCTGTAATAATATAAGTGATAATATTAAATAAATATAATGTTTACATTGAAACATCAAAATTAAACCAACTTTCTAATTCAAATTTTTAATCAACTGATTAGCAAGCCTTGCTGTCGAGAATTAAGTTGCACTATCAAAAGATAATTTCTTCTTTAATTTTTTAACGGAATTTAGCATACAAAGTCTCTATCATGGCCCTAATACTCTTGAGGTCTTTGTTCACAGCTAAAACTTTATGTAATAGAAAAAAAATAACTTTTTTCCTCTCACCATATTCAGGGATCTTTCCAGGCCAAATTTACTACCGTTTAGTGGTAGCTTCACAAAATACTTTTTCGTAAAATTTTCTTTTTGTATCCCGTAAGAAACAATAAATCCATATTTTTGTGTTGATTTTTTAATATAATTTTTAATTAGATTAAAAAATTATGTTTAAATTATATTAACAAATTACGTTTAAATTTTCACAAAATAGGTACCAGTCAGGAAAACCTAGACAGACCCCTGATATTTATTTGAGATTTTAATCACTTTTTTTTCTTTCTTATAAATCATTTCAAACTTATAGTGAAAAGCTCCAAGAATCAAGATCAATAAAAGACTGGCATTTAAAATCGATAGAAAAAGGATATAGAAAATTAAAATAATTTTATGTTTAACAGTAGTAACTGATGGTGCTGAACTTTTTAGATTTTAAACTAGATTTTTAACGTTCTTTTAAACTGAATGTTTAGTTTAAACCAAAAAAAAACATAAAACTTTTTCCAGACTGTAGAAGATTAAACATTATTTTAATCTTTTGAACCATAGGATTCACATCAAACCTCCTCACACCTGTTTTTTGATTATCTTGTTCAAATTTGTACCTCTGTCCCTATTGGTTTAACTACTTTGCATGCGTTTTTCGCTTTACTTCTCAACTACCATTTGGTGTTTTTGACACAGAGGTGGGTTTTTGTTTATAGAAACAAAAATAAAGCATTTTCATTTCTTCACTTTAATTTGTTCTTCATTCTCATTTTTTTGATTTACTCCACATAGCACAAGGTATCTTCCCTAAACACCTTGGCCTTTTTGGATGTTTAGTTTGTGCACAATGAAAGACTGCATGGTTGCAAGATATGTTGAAATCAATCAGCTTTATAAAATAATTTGATAACAAAGGTGATCGATCAAGTACTTCAAAATGATTACTAGAAGATTTATTAACATCAACTACAATCACCAAAGAGATTTAAACTTAGAGAAAAAAATAATTATAAATAAGTAAAGTAGAAGCTTTTATTTTTTAAAAAATATGATAAAGGTTTGCCCGGGGGTGAGTATGAATCATATCAATCGAGGTTTCCCTCTTTGTGTTGTTTGTTTTTTGTTTCTCACTGGCCACTGTGAGGAACTCACCAAAACCATATAATTTGGCATAGGTAGGGTGACCTGGGGTAATTCCTGGTCAAAAAATGCAAACATCTATTTTGTGAAGAAACTATTCAAGATAGAATTTTAATATTTACTGGAAGTTTGAGGCGATATGAGATGAGTTCTATGCTCCCTTCTTTTGTTTTAAAATCTAATTAAAATTTAAAAGATTTTAAATTTTTAGTGATCAGGAATTACCCCTTTTCTTGATCATTTCTGGGGTAATTCCTGGTCACTTCTGGGGTAATTACCGATCACCAGTTTTTATATTAAAGGGGTTGTTTAAAAATAATTATACAATGGTAATTAACAAATAAGACATCAAGATCAAACAAATAAACCAAAAAGATATGTTTAAGCAGCTAATAAAACGATTTATTTAAAGGCAAGAATAAAGATCAACACTTTAAATTTTCCAAAAATCTTTGCATTTATATATTTTAGGCAAGCAGAAAACTCATTCTCATGTTCTGATAGAATATAAGAAAGAGTTCTCACATGTGTTACTTTAGCAGGATTTTTGTAACTTCATTAAGAGAGAGTGTAAAGTTTAGTAAGGTATGTCAACAGCTCTCACACTCGTTTCAATCATTAAAAGAAATTCACTAATTTTGCTTTCTAGAAGCTTAGTACCCTTTTTAGGCTTATAATTTCGCACGATATTTATAGTATGCTATTTTATAAACTTAAAAATTATTCTAACAATGTACACACATAAAATTAAGATAGAAGCAAGGTAAGGCAAACCAGAAACAGTGCAAATCAGAACATATTTGTCTTGTATACAGTTAAAAACAAATTTTGTTTAGCTGTTATTTTAAAAAAGACATTTAGCTATTTTTTATACTATTTATAAGAAGAAATGAAAATGATCAGGAATTGCCCCAGTGATCAATAATTACCCCATCTGTAGGGGGCAACATTTGATATAATTTCCTATAATCAATTATAATGTTTACAGTTGATATGAAATGAAACAATTAAACAAAAGCTTACACTATTTTTATAACAAAGAAATAGAAAGTAACGCAAAATATTTATTATTAAGAGAAGGAGGGGGATCTTTACAGAAATGTGCACTTTTTGAAACCCATCTTTGAAATGGAAAATACAGAAAGCAGTTTAAAAGATACTTATTTTGTTAGATTAAACAAAAAATTATTATTAAGTAAATGTAGTTATACTTTAGTAAAGTGTACAAGCATTCTTGTCCATGTCTCAAATTTAAAAAAAAAAATGTTTTTTTTTTTTTAATAAAACTTAGGTGATCATTATTTACCCCAGAAACAGAGTGATCGTAAATTACCCCAGGTCACCCTCCTGATTAAGAAATCTTCCCACACCACTTAAGGTTTAATTTTGTTAATCCACTAACTTAAAAATGTATTTGTGGACTAAGTCCTAATTAATAGAAAAATTCAAATAAATTATTATAATTACAACAGAGAAATATTACTACAAATTATTCTCAGTCAATTAACTTATTTTGTTTGTTGAATAATGATCAGATATATTTCAAATTAATTTTCTAAATTAAAAAATACTGTACACAAAATAAGAAAAAGAGATAGTTAACTTAGATTAAGGATGCAATTTACAAAAGTTTGTAACTTTGAAAATACAACTATACTTTTTGCATGAGTTTAGGTGGAAACTAGAGAGACATTTTACTATATGAAGAAGTTAATATATTGGAAGTAATAGGCTTTAAGGGCACAAATTTCTAATTTGAAATATATTTTACAGTGGTTATATAAAGCAAAGGAGACATTTGCGCATTGAGATCTTTTGAATCAACTATAATCAAGTGGTTTTAAAATTGCAAATATTAAAAAAAAATAATTTATGCCCTTCGTGTTGGTCCCCTACTATGTTTGTTACAGAAATTGCAAAGACTTAACAATTATTCTGCTGAATATTGCAATATTGAAATCTTTCCAAAACATGAATCTCTGAATAAAAAATAATACTTTGCAGCACATTATGGAACTAAAATATGAACAATAATTGTTCAGTATATATAAAAGAAACTTAATAAATCCTACAAAGCAAAGTCATAAGATCAAAGCATATGCAAATGATATTGCAATCTTAACAAGTAGCATAAAGTTCTTAAGAAATAAACAACACGGTTTCATAAGCAGATTTGAGGTATACCATAAATACTTAGCCAATAATTATTTTTCCTAAATAGCAGTTATATAAAACTTGATGCTTGAAATAAATCTTTAACTACTGAAAGAATCCATTTATATTCATTCAGCAAGACATATCCATCACGTTTTGAATTTATATATTAAATTCAAAAATTATCTTTCAATTCAATTTTAAATCTGCTGTTAAATAATTGATCATAGAGTAAACTATAATATTAAAAAATGCACTCCTAGTATTTAATTTAAGACTTTAAAGCATTATGAAGACAAAACTAAATATCTTAGCAGAACAAATTTTTTTATATATCCAAAATTGTTTTTTACCGTAATTTAAATCACTTCCAAGCAGTAAAACGTATATTATGGTGATCGATGAAGTAACACAACTTCATAATAAAAATTGGTTTGTAATACGAAAAACAAATGTTGCTAAAATTTATGCAAAATATTCAATATAATAACTACAAAATTACTGAGATTTCATAAAATCCGCTTTTTAATATCAAAACATCTAACTTTTAGATCTGGAAACAAAAACAACCAAGCTCCATAACCAGGTTCAGGAAAATGGTGAATGAAATCATTCACAAGCATAATAGCATATGGCTCAACATATAGCATGTATAAAAAACACATAATGACAGCTTGAAATGTGAATTATATAACTAATTGGATGAAATGAAACTTCTAGAATAAATTTGTTTGAGAAAATTTCCATATTGAGAGCTCATTACTTTTTGATTTCCATAAAATAATCTTATTGTCCCATTTTTGTTTTTCGAGCTAATTTAGCAAACTTTAGATGGCAGTTGTTTGGAGAGTTTGTTTGTTATTATATTGCGAGAAGCTATGTCAATTTGAATTTTTATGTTTTTGTTTGAAAGTCGGTGCTTATATTCACTGATTTTTAATTTTATAAATATTTGCTTAAGGCAATGATGCCTACATTTCGTGAAAAAGTTGGAGGTTTTCTCCGACAATTATCGACTGGCCAGGAAAAGAAATCTGATTGTAGATCAGCTTGCACATCTCCTACATCGACTGGCTCTTTTATTCACAAATATTTACTAGGGTGTGTTTTGATATTCACCAAATGATGAATCTTTATTTTATGCAATCATAAAGTTGTAACTATATGTATAATGGTTAAATGCATTTATTATGGGAATTAATTAAGTTTATCTTGAAATAAAAAGTTGATTTAAACCTTCATAATATTAGTGAAAATAGATGAATCATTCCAATTGATACTTTTCAATTAATTATCTACGCTTTTATCATTTATTGAATTGTAGAATCATTCGAAACATAATCAAAATATTTTGATTTTTTTTTCCATTAGAAATTAAAACTTTATACTTGTATATTTTACAGATAATTATTTTGTTTCTAGAAAATGTATTGCTTCGAAGGATTTTGACTTAAGATCCTTCACAAAAATGGGTGCTAAGTTTTATTAACAACGGATAATTTTTTTGACGACGCATTATCAAACTAACTTGAAAAGTAAAAAGGAAAAGATTTTCTTGATAGTAGTTCTAAAATTTTAAGAATAACCAGACATTTATATCCAAGATACTAAAAAAAGCCCGGTATTGGGCGAACTTGAAGTCTAGATATGCCCTATATATATATATATATGTTTTAAATTTTTAACTTACAAAAACCACCCAGTTTCACTTAGTAATTTTAGATAGCACGATCAGGTAGTACCAACGTAGAAATATCCCTGATAAAAATTGGGGATATTTCCAAAATGTGATCTATCTCAATATAATCTTAGCAATTTTACAGCCATTTCGGTGAAAGCTATTTTATAAGCATAATAAAGTTTAACCATTTTCATGCATTTTTCGATTTCTTTTATGTATTGTCTTGTTTTAACTGTTTTATGGGGCTATATCCGTATTGTGATCTGTCCCACCAATTACAATCGCCAAGGTGACAAATAGATTTTAAACTTGCAAATTTTTTTTTTAAAAAAGCATGTAGATGTTTGCACGGGGGTGGCTATGAGTTATACCTTTCGAGTTGGTCCCTTTCTGTGATGTTTTTTATAGTTCCTCGCAGGCCACTGCCCGGAATTTTCCAAGACTTGGTGATTATTCTGCCACGTATCACGATACTGAAATCTGCCCAGTCTTACATAAGTGCTATTTTTATAATGTTAATGAGACCTGATTAGGTAATTTTTGAAACTAACAGATTCCTGCCTTTATCGCTCAGAAATTCTACCAACAGTTTTAAAAAAAAATTTTTTGCTATGAGAAGAAAAACAGTTACTCCTAATGTTAATGATAAAACAAATAAGGTTTTGGTTAACATGGGAAATGCCTGAAACCACACATGTGGTATTTAAGTATCAGTTGACAAAAATGTTGAAATGTTGAGTTATCTCTTTAAGTAATGGTTGCCAATGTTGAAGAAATACAGAGTGGTAGAGCTGAAGACCACAAAATTGGAACCAAAATGCATGGCATAATTTGTGGAATAGCACTGTGACGTAACTACCACTAAAATTATTAAATACCAATTTGTTAGTATATAAGATATGTTAACTTGATTCTATTTAGAGGTACCTTTTGATAGATAAAGGTTGACATAGTCTACAATTATATATATTGGTGATCACCGAAGGTGATATGAAAAAGATGGATGGTTCACATTAAACAGCTTATATGCACACAAAATATTGCTCTGAAGAATTCAGTGTAGTAAATACTATCCTCCCAACCATTAAATAAATTAATAATGAGGGGAAAAAATAATGAATAAATAAGATAAACAGCATTAATGAACTAGTGGTATCCGTTCATCGAATTCTATCACAGATAAAATTCTGGAAGGGGAGTAATGTGGCGTAACAAATGTGCTTTCGCACATAGCAAACTATTAAGGAGGGTCTGATCTGTTTTTAACGGGAATTTGAACAGCTAAAACTTCGGTCATTGTGTGAAGTCTTCAAAAACGAATTTCTAAATATTTGCCTACGATGATATAAATAACATTAAAATAAAAGTGATAAATTTCAAATTTGCAATTAAAATTATGTATCACTTAATCAAATAAAATAAAATACTCACTTAGAAAATGAATAAAAAATAAATGAGTTAGCATTCTCAACTGTAAGAACATATTACTCGACATTTAGAACAACGTAACATTTAGAGCAAAAAAAGTTACCTGAAGCCTTTTAAATTTTAAAATAATTTGACTAAATAAATAATAATCCAGAAGCACTTATCTATAGTTTAGCTTCAGTCGTATGTAGATTCTTTTCAATTTGCATTGTGTAGAATAGTCCTGAAGGAAATTTTCCCATGTTTCTGGAATAACAAGCTGTAGTTTACTTTTGACGATTCCAATTCATTTTATGCATGTTATATTCGAGGTCACCATTATGGAATAATTATTTGTTTATCCATATTAGATCATCCAGTGATTTTATCCAATGAGAATTTTGCTCTTAAGAGGAAAACATTATATTCTTGCTTGAAACTAAAACTTTATTAACTTTTCTTTGCGTGCATGTTGTCAAACTGCAAAAGATGTTCCGCTACTCAGGTTATTCTGCTTTAGGGTTGCATTATTTTTCATGTCCGCTTGACGATGATTTTATTCGTCACAGCGCAAAGCCTTCGAACACAGTTCCGCACTTTCTATATTTATTGCATGCTTATAGAAAAGGAACAGCTATCTGGCTACCAATGTCAAAAGAAAAAAAAATTTTTTTTTTTGCTTTGAGGAGAAAGGAGCATTAAAACCAAAATTTCAAAATATTTTAAATAAATAATTATGTTTATTCATCCTTTTGTGTTGTAAATATTTTTACATTAAGTATAGAATTTTTTTTTTACAATTAAAATTTTGTTATATTTATAGTAAATGAAATAATCTAGCTTATTTATTTGTCATACATTTTTAAGTCATTATATTTAATTTGGTTTATTGTTTTCCCTTATCTATTATCTGTAATGAATGATCCCATGAGAAACGATCAAATAAAGCTCAACTGTATTTTTAATTTATTAAATTTAATAGCAGGTCAAGTATACCTTAAGTGACAGCTTAGCATTGTTGGCGCAGCCAAGAACTGATACAAAAAAAAATTTCGATATCATTATTACATTCAAATTTTAAATGAATTATTATTATTATTTGTCATTTTTATATCTCTTTTTTTTCTCCAGTGAAGTTAAGAAAGATCACCCTCAAGTTTTTTATGCAAAATCTTGCTACGACTTACCAATAAAAGAAATCGCCAGGTTGTCTAAAGTAGTCCTATCAGCATATACTGGCCCTGAAGATGGTTTAGCAACTGTGGATCGTAGAGATAAACCATTTGAGTTCCGAGATGCTGATGTTCATTTTATTGATGAAGATCACAGAGATAGTTTAGAAAATATTACAAAGTGTAAAGAGGGGATAAAAACAGAAACTGCTCAGACGAATCAAGAAGAGGGTAAATTTAATAAATTGTTTATATAATTTAGTTACGTGTTGTTGTTACTCAATATCATTAGTTGCCTTTTTTATTATTTTAACTACTACACTATAATCTTTTATTTATCTTTGAAGTTAAAATAAAATAAAAATCTATTGTTTTATTTGTGTTGTTTTATTCTGTTGTTTATTTTGTGAATGTTTTTATTTTTCATAAAATATGTTCTGTAATTTGCTATTGTATTTACTGGCCTACAAAAGTCAACATAGTAGCAAGATAGTGGAAGGAAATATGCATTAAGTAGTTCTTTATTAAATGCAACATGGACATTTACATGAGTTCATATAAAAAATCAGCTATAACAAATATGATTTATTACAAGAAACTACTCATGGTTAAACTTCTCTAAAAAAATGGTCATCATGTTAACTTCTCTAAAAGAAAAGAAAAAGCAGTGCATTGTTTTACGTAAAAAATAATTGAAATAAAAGGGATAGTCATGGTTTCCAACTTCTAGAAACACTAAAAGAAAAAAAAAATTGTTTTGAACCACGCTAAAACAAAACAAAAGCTGCCTTTTAAAAATTCTAAAATTAATAAAATGAAAGGGGGGAAATGTCACCCAAAATAATAAACTATCTAAAAATAAAAAGCAGTGTAATGTTCTGTGTAAAAAAAAAGTTTAAATCAATAGGACTTCCAACTTCTAGAAACACTAAAATAACTTCTCTTTTTTTTTATTGTTTTGAACCACTTAAAAGAGACTGGCTAAAACAAAACAAAAGCTACCTTTTATTAAAAATTTAAAAAAAATTCTGAAATTAATGAAATGAAAGGGGAAAAATGTCACCCAAAATAATATAAATTATCTGAGACAATGTAAACTGAATAAATCTGCGCAACATGTAGTGTTTCATTCACATTGTTTAGATCTACTCATACTTTATATAAAATATACCTTATCTTCATTTGGACTTAGTAAACACTTACCTCATTAATCTACATTTCTATACTGTTAAGTCTGCGGAGGAGCATTTTATTAACACATTTTCAAAGCGTTAATAATGAAATCTTGGATACTGTTTTGTTATGAATTTATTTTAACTTATAAGTAGGATAGATATTTACAAATTGTATAAAAATGTTTTCTTAATGCACAAATTCATTCTGTTTTTCATCTGTAATGTACACATCGTTAATGTGGATCAGAGGGAAAACAGAAATTCTCCCTTGATGATCAGAATTTTTACTGTGCATATGAACAAAGGTCAACGTCCTTACAATTTATAACTAGCTAATTCATTATAGTGTTGTGATTGGATAATTGGAGCAACAATTTGCACTTTCAAAGTAGTTTAAAGCTACAACTATAAATTAAGAGTTTTAAACAATTAAGAACAATAATTAACTCTTTTAGTGCAGCATAAATACAATAAAAAATAAACTAAAAGTTCCTATTTTTTTTGGACAAATTTAGCACATTGTTAAAGAACAATTATAGACATTTAGCACAATTTTTGTGAAAATGTTTATTCTGGATCAGTAAAAACACAGTTAAAGTGAATTGGAACAATGAAATATTGTAGCAATTTTGAACAAAAATGTCTGGTTTCAAAGTAGCTGGAGTGAATTTGAGTAGCTAACACATCGCAATAGTGAATAATATTTCAGTTATTTATGCAGTAAATACTTTAGGAAGCTGAAGTAAAAAAAATTTTTATAAATAATAAACTTCAATTTAAAAATAAAGAAAGCAAATTTTTGCAGAAAAATGTCCTTGTAAATTTGTTCAGGAAAGGTTTAAACTAGTGAAAATTATAAATTTTATTTTTAACCTAATAAATTGTTTAACAAAAAGTATTATAAAACTCTTTAAATCCATTAAAAAAATGTTTAAAATCACAAGTAGCAAAATGTTTTATTATAACCTATCTCTATTTCGGTGTTTCAATGGTTACATCTTACTCAGCAGTTTAAATGGCATAGATGTATGAAACAAAGATGATTTAATCTAACAAGAGTTATGTCGAGATAAGTATTCAGTTAAAGGCAAAGCGTTTAATTGACAATAAGTGTGAAAAAATTACTATAGTTTCTAAATGCTTAAAAAATATGATGTAGCAGTATAATCTTTAATAATAGAGTTTTTGTTTCTGATGATATGTAAACTCTCCCTAAAATCTTGGTCATCACATGTAATACATTTATGAATGATATGAGGTGGGAAAATAAAAACGAAATAGCCTTCTGTTCACCAATGTTTTGCAATAGAGGAGTAGTGGAGTTCTTGATTCTTTACATAGCTTTGATGATCTTTGAGTGTTTTTGTTTGCCCTATGTAGGAAAGTCTGTACTGGCATGAAATTCCGTAAATTCATCATTGTTGAAGCAATCATCAGGTTGTTTGAGAAAGTAATTTTGTTGTCTAAAGAAAAGATAACTTGGAATTTGTGTTTTGAAAGAATTTTGGATATTCACAAAATGTCTCTAGCTTCCCAATAGTGTTCAGTGATAGAATTCCTGCGAAGTGCAGAGCAGTGGAGAAGGTGCGTGGAGTCCATGTCCTCACCAGAACTGCAAACAGTGCATACCGAATCTGCACAGATGTTTCCGCAGACAGTCATGACCGGTGGCCAAGCGGAATTCAGCCACAGCTCTTTGTCTTGGGCCATTTCCCAAATTTAGGATGGTAGCCCTCCAAGACTTTGTAGAAGTACGATCGATAAGTTCTTCATGAGCACAGGTCTTAAAGGTCCTCTTAATAAGCTGTTGGATTATAATCATGTTAGCACTTTTTTTTAAACAATATTGTTGATTATCTTGGGTGATGGCTCTGATCTTGTTGATTTCTCACTTTAAAAGTTTAGATGTTCGACAGATTTTACAAATTCTAAAGATCGAGATATTAAATGCTGCAGTCATTTGATTTGGTTTATGACAATAAGAACGGTATGGTGGAAAGGGTTTGCATAACACACACTGTTGTTTGAAAATAATCTTTATGGATTATCTGATCTTCCAATAAAGGAAGGCTATTGTCAGATTCCCTGTTTGTTGTAAATTTAATGCACATTCTACAGAAGCCAAATAGTCACAAGACTGTTATTTTCGGGTTGACGCTACAGAGTTTAAGGCACTAACTGTGCTGTGTTAGTGAAACATGTCTTGACTTGTAACAATTTATTATTTCTTTAAATAGAATGTAAAAAAGTATCTTTAACAAAATATGAACTTAAGTTTAATTTATGCATTTATTAGAAATTATTTTATTTTCTAAGAAAAGCTTTTAAAAATTAAAACTTTTAATGCGTGTTGAGGATTAAGTTTTATTTTGATACTTACTTTTATTTTCATTTACAGATATACAACCTTGGCCAGATGAAAGCTCTACTTACTTGGACTTTAAAAAGGAAAAAGAAAACATTCTTGTAGCTGGAATTAAAAATTGGACTCTACCTTCAGAATTTGCTTATGGTATTGCCACAACACTTTATGAATGCCATCCTGTTACTAAAGAAAATGCTGGTAAATTCATATGCCTAATTTTTATATCTTATGTAAATTGCCATTTTTATTACGTTTATGAATCCACCTTTTTAGTTTAGAAAAATTTCATATAAAAACTTAATAAATTTATTATTTATTTATTTTTAAAAAAAAAATATATGATAGCTTTACGTGAATAGAAATTTATGGATCTAGATTAAAAATTTAGCTTTATTATCTTATTTTTTACATAGTTGGAGTGTTTGTGTATTGTTGCAACTTATTATTTCATTAGGTTTACAATTATAGTGTTAAATTAACAATCAATGTGCAAAACTAAAAGCCTTAATGACAAAGTGGTTAAGGCACTATCATTGTCAAGAACTGGATTTTAATTCCTGGTGATCGCTTGAAACCTTCCCAGCTTCAGATCGAAAAAAGAAAAAAAAATTATTGATCTAAACTTAAATATTTGTTTAGACCAGTAATGTGCTTTGTTAGTAGCTGTTTGTATTTTAAACATAAGATACCCTTTTTGACAACTAATGGAATAACTTTTAAAGAAGTAAATACTGTAATTTCTATACAAAAATGTTTTTAAGAAGTTATTTAAAAATATGAATGATTTACTAAAATTGTGTTAGAAAATCTGTCAAACATAAAGCAAAGTTATATATGTTTACTCAAAGAATAAGTCGATTTGAAATGGCAATTGCTCATGTTTTATTTAAACTAAACTAATTAAATGAAGTAAGTATTTTCAAGAATAGTTTCATGTTTGAGCTTCTTTCTAGTGTTTTTTTCCCCTTTAAAAGAAAACAAACTTTGCCATATTAATAATCTCAGATTATTGTAAAATAATTGTTCTATATAAAATTAGAATAATGCAAAATTGTTTGTTGCACACTGAATAATGCAATATGATTTTTGTAATTAATATTCTGTTATCCAGGAAACCCTATTGCAGATGCATTTGCTATTGTTATGAGGGAAAACAGTGCTCTTCTTGCTTTGGCAGATGGTGTCAATTGGGGAGAAAAATCCTGTTTAGCTGCTCGTTGTGCAATTCATGGATGTATCAATTACTTAAATAAAGTTTTATATAGGGAAGGATCTGGAGATTTGACTTCTCTGGTTTGTAATTTTTAAATATAGCAATTCACTCATTTGATCTTCATTTAACTTCTGAATAATTGTCTTTTTTTATTAAAAAATTATTTATAATATGTATGTGAATGTTACTGTTATTTTAACTCTTTACAGGGTATTCGCACACCTGGAAAGTCAAGAATTTTGGTATTGAACAAAATTTGTCATGAAATGTCAGGATTTTAACTATTTTTTAAAAAAAATCATGAAAAGTCATGGATTTAGGTTGCCGAAAAATCTAATTTTTAAAATGGAATTTACTCCCCTCCTTCCAATTTTACGGTGTTCTGAATTTGTAACAAAATCCCCAATCACAGTCATATTTGATTAAAATATAAAAAAAAATTTGTCATGCTCTTTAAAAATTATGGTGTTCTTTCAAAAAATGAAAGAAAAAACATCATTTCTAAAGCAAATTATCTTTGTTATTATTTTTATTTTATCAACTTCAAATTTTAGCTGAAGGCAAACCAGTCATTGGTGAATTTTTTTATTCCAAAAGGAAAACAGAAAAATCAGGAGTATTTTTTTCCTTTCCGATGAACGAAAAAAGTATCTTTAGAATGTAATTCTGCTGAAAAAAAGTGAAAAAATTTATTCTCTTTTGTATTTTTTTCCGTTATTTTAATGTTTCAGCTGTTTTGTTGTTAACAGTTTTGGTTATACTTATCATTTCAATGAATGTTATTATAATGCTTTTTTAAATTTATTTTTGTGTTTTTGACGGTAAAAATAGTAAATTCTTTAAATCACAAAAAATTCTTGGAATTAGTCATGAAAAGTCATGAATTGGAAAATGTAAAATATAGCAGATACCCTGTATCACCTGAAGATTAATTTAAAATTTGATTTTGAATTGATTGAAAATTTGATTGAAAATTTAATTAATACAATTTTGTAATTTTTAATACATTAATTTAAAATAATTTTAAGCAAGGATAGAAAATCCTGCTATTGATGTGTTTGCAAAATATTATTATTAAAATATTATTACAGTCTTCACTCTTTAGTACAACCCCCCACTAGTGCGACCCTTCGATTATCACAACCACCTATTTGCTGTTTCATAGACTCAATATTATTCATAGATGCACTTTCAAAACTAATATTTTTCTATTTATAATGTGTAAATCAATAACATAAGTCTTGAGAAAACTATTCCAATCTTTGTTTCTTTTGATGTCACTGCTAAATAAAATATGAAACAACTTGAATTCTCAATGAATGAAGAAAGAGTGACAGTCTATTATAAACCGAAGAGGTCCTGAGCATAATCATGGTCAGAAAAATTGTGAAATATCGATTATTTACCATTATCAAGAATTTAATGTGAATTTAAATTCATTTAGAAATTATAGTTTCCTACATGTAATCATACCCTTTCAAGATTTATTTCCAAAAGGCTCATGCATTTATCAATCATATTTTACTTGTTTGACAATTGTATTCACTTTTTTTGTGAATTGTAAGAGATTTAAAGTTATAACACATGTTATTATTCACATTCTTTTTAACTTTAGTTTTGCTCATTTGCTGGACCTATGTTATTTAGCAAAAATGGCTGCTCCTAACCAGTGTAGTGCTATATACTTAGAGCTGAAATTAAAAATTTTAAATGAGGTGGATAAAAGAATAACATTAATTTATAAAGTATTCAAGATGTCGGAAATCACTTTGCTTGCAATTATTAAAAATTATGATGTAATTCTAAAGGCAGAAGAACATAGTGCTGTAATTTCATGACATCATTCTTGTGAAGCAAAATTTCAAAATCTAGAAAAAGCATTGTAATTTTTTAATGTTCTGATGTAAAAAAAAGCTTCTTTCAATATAGTCAATATTCACAATTAAAGAAAAGATATTAGCAAGTCTTTTGAAAAATAATAAACTCTTTGTGCTAAGGCTTTTAAACAATGAATTTTTTTCAATGAACTAAAATGTGAGTCTAAAGCTGTGATTATTTAATAGTTGTAGCTAAGCAGTTCTGTATCATTCTATTTCTATTATATTCTTTTCTTCTATATTTCTATTCCATAATAAACGTAACAGTTATGGGAAACCTTTTGGTATTTAGTTACTTTTGGAAAGCAACTCAAATGTTACTAAGTAAATTTAGTGTATCTTTTTAAATTTTTGCTTTATCAGATTAGAACTTTTTAACAAGGTATCCATCACAATTAGTTAATCTCTGAATCTTGGATCTCAAAAAATAATTTATATCATACATGCATGAACATATAAAAATTATTTATTAAAAACAATCATATATTAGAAAGATACAATTCACTGATCTAAAATTTCCAATTACTTTGTTTAAAACACATTATTAAATGTTCTGCAAATATAATTTTATTTAAACATTTTAAAAGTTAAATGTAAACAATTTAGGGCAAAAAATAGATTTTAAAAAAATGCTTGTAATAAAAATAAGTTAGTATTATTATAATATATTATAATTATAATATATTATTATTATAATGTGTTATATTATTATAACATCTTACTATTATATATTATTATTGTTATATAATATATTATTATTATATATTATTTATTATGATTATAAATATTTAAAACTAAATACAGTACAAAACCCGTTATCCGGAAATCAGAAAACCGGAAAACCAAAAAACCGGAATGAAATTCGATAAATTTCCCCGCCATTTTTTTCAAGAATTTTTTTTTTCCTCATAAGATTTTAGTATTTTTCTTTCTTTTTTGAAAGATGTTTACCTTACCATCATTTCGGAAATAATCATTAGTGAATTACTTCATTGTTTTTTCTTCTTTTTAAGATTATTTCCAAAAAGTTTTTTTTTTTAGTTGGGTTTAACAATAAAAAAAACGGCTTTTTGCAGCGATTCAGACAACCGGAAAAATCAGTTATCCGGAATAGCGATGGTCCCGATCGTTCCGGATAATCGGTTCCCTACTGTATAAAAATTTGTCAAGAATATGTCTGCATGTTGTATATAATAGTAAGCTTTTTTTTTTATTTATTATTATTTAAAGAAAAAAAATGAAAGAAAGAAAAATAACAGATTGATTCCAATTTTTTGTATGCTATGTGATGAAAAATATTATTTCCCCATTTAAATTTTTTTTTTTCCTTTTTGATCCTTTAGCTAAATTTTCAATTGAGCTTTCATATAGACATTTTTAATAACATCTGTTCCTTAAGTTAGAAATTAATTTGTTTTTTTGTTTTTTTATTATGTTTAAATGTTTGTAGGGGAATATATATGCATGGGATAAATACTCATTTAAAAAGCTTTCATGATAAAAGAGAAAATTTTGGATGATGTACTAAAATGTTATAATCATTGTTTTATTTACAGGATATATTTGTCAGTCTTTTAAGATCTTTTAGTGAGGCTCATAATCTAATTTTACAAGAAAATGGGACTCTAACTACTCTTTGTGCTGTTGTTGTCGCTCAGATAAAGAAGTCAAATAAATTTGTAGCATGTGCTTGTAATGTTGGAGATAGCTTAGCTTATATTTATAGTCCAAAATATGGAGTCAGAGAAATAACTCAAGGTATATATTTTACACTCTGTTTTTTTATCTGTTAACATTTGAATGACATAAGCTCACTCCTTATAAATTCTACATTTCTAGTTGTTTAAAATAAAGTTTAAATTTAGCTTTAAGTACTTCACCTCTCAAAAAAATGACTGATAATTTTGAAAATCGTTTTAAAGAAAAACAAAAAATTTTGGAAATGTACACTTTGCTGCCTTCTATTTTTGAAACTAGGGTTTATTTTTTAGAAGTTTCAAAAGTTAATATTTAAAGCAATGCTTCAGACCATTCAAACTTATATAATTTGCACTAGCAGCTGTTATTTTATCTTTTGACTTCCCACATTTTCGCTGTGAATAGTGGTCATTTTGAAAACAAACATATTTTTTTAAGTTTTTTTCTGTTAACAGCACCATCTGTTGATGAACTTGTATGTGATTTTTTGATTTCTANTCTTTTTTTTTTTTTTTTTTTTTTTTACAATTTTTTTTTCAGAGTTTCAAATTATTTTAAGATTTATTTATCATGTGTTATAGATCCGGGGAATGGTCATTTATTATCGGTTTAAAAAGGCTGCTGCACCAATTAATTTTTCTCTTCATTATATTATTCTATTTATTTTACTTTTAAAGATTTTAGGTGTTTCCACAGCTTTGATGATGCATTGATGATTTTTAATTACAGTTTTGCCTTCGTTTGAATTCATTCAACAGCTTTTCCTTACAATAAATTCTGAATGCCTATATACACACTATGATACCATAATTTATTATAGTATTATGCATTATATAAATATATTTTTTTCACCGCATTTGTTACTACCTCAATAGATTTTAAATCTATTTTTACTCCTGCACACTAATAAAAGTTATGTTATTTTTATATATATTGGTTTATGTCATTTTCTCCTATGAGGGGTGAAAGTTTCTTTTATTTTTAATAAATAAACAAGATTTTTCATAATATCTAAATATTTATATCAATAAATTATTTTAATTGTACTTTATAATTAATTAATTTTCAACTGTTAACAAATATGTGTTTATAAATTAGGTTCTCATGATATTTACTCTATGAGGGACATGAGAGATGCATTGGGTGCATTAGGTCCAGTGGATGGAATAAATCCGGAACTTGGTAACTTGACTGTTTCCATGTCAGAATTAGAACCAGATGATATTGTATTTTTAGTAAGTGATGGAATTTCAGATAATTTTGATCCTGTAGTTGGTAAATTTGCAATTCCAAGAAAAGTTGATAAAAGAGCTAAAACCCCAACAGACTCATCTGCAGAAAACAACCATCCCTTAAATGCTTTACACAATCAAAATGTTGAAAAAGAAACTTTTGTGATTGATCTCAACTTACCTGTAGTTGAAGCCCATCAGCGACATGCTTTAACGTTGTTGAGAATGGAAGATCTCATATTGAACGGAGTTAATGAAGGAGATGGTCCTTGTGAAACAGCGCAACAACTGTGTGAACAGATGATTGATTTTGCTGAAAAACTTACTATTGCCAAGAGACGCATTTTAGAGGATCCAGAACTCTATAAAAATGATGATTTAGAGGTGAATCAAGCTGGTCAACGCATGAGACGTCGGAAAGTTGGCGAAAAATTAGCCATGGTTCCTGGTAAATTAGATCATGCCTCTATTGTAGCTTATACGGTTGGTACAAGATTTGAAGAAAAGGTTCCTTTAATTGCTGAATGTGAATCATTTTCTGATTTGAAATGCTGAAAATAATACATTGTTGAAAATGCTTAGTACTTAATTAAATTGGAAAAGCAATTTGGCATGTAGCAATATTTAACTTTATTTTAAACTACTGTAGGGAATAGGTGAAAACTATAATTTAACTAAAGACTAAGTATGCTTAAATTTGCAGGATACAAACATAAAAGCCATAGTGCTAGTAGATTTTCTTATGAACAAAGATCTAAAATCACATGAGCTAACTTTTTAATACTTGTTTTTATGCAGTGATGCACTTAGAGAATTTTTTAAATGTTTTCTTGAGTACTTAAAACATATATTTAAGTACCTGATATTAAATACTTAGATATATATTTAATATTAGGTGCTTAGATATTTAGTACTTGGATATTTTTGACAACTCAATTCATATATGGAACTAAAACAATGAGTTTTTTCTAGTAGTCAGCTAGACTGCTGAATCCTACATTTTACTTTATATCTGTAGTATTTGATATATATCAATTTATAGTAAATATCTTTTGTAAACTATTATTAGTAAATGTTTTACTAAAATTTTTACACATTTAGTAAATTACTCTGAAAAAAGTTCTTTCTTGTGCCATTAAAAATAATTAACTAGCAAATTAGAATAATCCTGTAAAAATTTATTCTTTGTTTATCAGCTATAAAATGCTTGTATATTGGAGGAATATATACTCTTAGAAATATATTTCTTTCCCTGACTGTGATTCTGTTATAGTGTATAATTTGCCATGTACAGTTTGTTGAAATTTTACATATTTTGTCCATGCAAATTAGATAAATATTATTTTTGAAATTGTAAAAAAACAAATTGATATCTAAAAATTATAAGTGTTGAAATTGAATAAAAAAATATAGAAAATAGAATTTAAATCAAATTTATTGTATTTAATGTTATACAGTGTAAAAATTTTTTTTTTCCATTTTGTTTATTATATTTATTGATTTGAAAAGAGAAAATTTTATGACTATATAATAATATATAAATTGATGGTTATAAAAATTGTTTGTGACATTCACTAATCAGATTTTATATTGATTTAGAAAATGCATTGGAACAAAACAAAAAAAATCAAAATCATCAGAATTTTCTGAAATTTATTGGACATTCATTTTCTGAAAAAAAAATCTATAACAATTCTTATAATTACTAGTTTTTAAATTTTTGTAAAATTTTCCTATTATCAAAAAGATAATAATTACAGAAGATATAAATCAGAGATTTATATATTCTAATTTTTGCTTGGCTTACATGTATTTATTTTATTCACTTTTTTTTAGTCTTGCTCTTTATTTTTTATTATAAAATAGTTTACTAGTGTTTTTATCTTAATAAACATTCTTCTTTTTTACTCGAATCGAGCATTTAAAACTGTATGTATGTTTATTAAATATTGGCGTCCATATCACTGTGCTTGTCAAAAGAAGTAGTGTTTAACACTGTGCGAAAAAAAGTGTCCAATATCATCTTACATCTGCAATTTTCATTTATATATTTGTAGATAATGTTACTCACTGTATTTAAACTTTTATTTTTAGCCATTTATTAATTTTCTCATAAAAATACTGTTTGCAAAAGCATACTTAACCCTAAATAGTCGGTTATTCGAAATGATTAAGTGGCCTTATATCAGAGTGATTAAAAAAGAGTGTATTTTGTAGTGTTTAATATTGAAAGGGATTTTAACCATTGTCTGTACATCAGAATAACTTGTTATTTAGGGTTGAATTTATAAAATTTTCTTTTTCTAAATTTAAAAATTGGTTTCTGATTTTAGAAATTATTTTGCAATGAAACTTTTCTAATAAAATCTTCCCTCTGAATTACACACATAGAAAGTTGCTTTCTAATCTCTTCAGACAAGACAATTTCCTCTTCAGTTGAGTTTTTCTCTTCAAGACAAAACAATTTTCCTATATAATTGCCACGTTGTGTTAATAGATGGAAAATGTTTAATAATAACATTCCCTGTATAGGTGAAAAACATTCATCTAAATTTTCAAAATCACCAGAAAAGGGTTAACTTATTAGTCTTAATATTTTGCTTTCAATTTGTATTAATTCAACTGTTCATATTAAAAATTGACTTGAATGATATGTCATAAAAAATGGCAAATAGGTATTAAATTTGAAATCCAAGCTATGTCACTACAATTATACTTTCAGGTCCTGCTTTCTTCTTCCTGTTGTGTTACTATGCTAATACAAGCAGCAGAAAGAAGCAATAGTACTGGGAATATTTTTAGTTTCCAAATTTCTTTAGTCTTTTACTTCTAAGATGCATTCTGTAAGCATTTGTAAATAAATATATATACTTTTTAAGAATTGGTAGTTTTAAAAAAAAAGTTTTGCCATTTCACCATCTTTTTTTTTTGAGAGTTCGTTAAATGAATTCTTTAATCCCAAGTTTAAAAGATCTCAGTTTAAATCATCACAAATTTAAATTATCTTTTAGATGTGGTATTGGCATATTATTTTCTTTATCAGAATTTACTCTTAATGGTGCATAATTTAATTTTTAATATTTTTATTCCAGAAAAAAAAATTTAAATCAGCTATTTATTTATAATTGTATTTCTGCTTTTTCTTTTAATTTAAGGTTCATTTTGTCTTGTGAATTCAAATTTAATTTTGTTTAAAATCTTACTACTGTATGCTTTTATTATAAAAAAAATTCTGTTTTAAGTGGCCATTTTATATATTGGTAATAATTATTCAGTTCAGTGATTTTCAAATTTTCTCCACAATGTCATTTTATTATTATTTTTCTGTGGAAAGATATATTGCAAAATCAAAAAAAAAAAACATTATTGCTAGTCTGGATTTATTATGAAAATTCTGTATTTTACTATTTTTTGTGCTTTTATAATCAAATAGAAAGTTCCAGAAAATCTATTGATAGATATTATTAACTAATATCAATCATTTAAGATTAAAAATGTTTTGAAGGAAATTTATTCATTATGTATTGTTATAGGGAAGTTTTTGTTTTGTTCATTTATATTTATTTAAATTTTTTATTGCTTTCACGAAACTACAGATCCCACCGATTTAGTTTGTACTTAATTATTTAGTATTTTAATACTTCAATTTGGCTTGTATTTGATTATTAGATATTTAATTTTACTTTATCATAGGAGGATTTTTTTCTCATCCATATTAAGATGAATATATCAGTTTATGTTGATTTGGGAACAGCGTGATCACTTTAATTATAAATAAGTTTGTTGTGTACTTTTTTGTTTTGATTTTCTTAAAATTATGCGTTTGTAGTGATATTTTTTTATGTACCTGTCTTATATTTAAATAATCTTTGAATTTATTTTTTTTTCAAGAAACAGCCATAGTGACATATTTTTTTTGTTTATTTTTTATCTCTCTCAGCATCAAGCTGTGAATATTAAATTATCAATTTTAAAAAATTTAAATATAATTCAACAATAGATTTCTTCATTATTTCTTAACTGCTGTATAAATATATATGTATATTCATATTTAAACTAAAAAGAATGCTAAATAATTGTTTAAAAGTCATAAATGGAATTTTTTTATCTTTTTTTTCTAAGCCTTAATATATTATTTATGTAAATAGTTTGTTTGTAAAATTAATTTTTGATGCTAATCTGTATTCTGCAAAACATCTAGCCTGCTTAGGACTGATGATTTTCATTCTTCAAAGTCATTTGAGTTACACCATAGGTAACTCAAAGAAACTCGCACGAGTCCTGGTTTATACCAATTACACCAAAATAATCGGCAATATCAATTAAAGAAAAAGGGAAGACAATTGAAATGTACAATTAGCTGATTAGCGTACTAGAAATTATTGTCTCCAACTTCTTAAATTAGTTGCAAAGTTCGGCAACAGATAGCTCTGCTAGCGAAAAACTGTAAAGCAATGTTTTTAAAATGACTCATCATTTACCCAAACAATGTGTTACAGTCTGAAGACAAAATCGGCTTAGACGCTTGCCAGTGTGTTAAGTAAGAGCTATTAATGTTATATAAGTTATTAATGTTCAGTTTTTCAAACTGAGTATAACAACATAAATTTTTTTTCTACATCACTAGAAATCAAGTCGTATATAATTAAATATGGTTCTTGGTGCTGTAATTATCTACGCAATACTTCATTAAAAGATTGTCTCATGTCATTAATTCAATATGTAAAGGTAGATAATATATAATTTAAAATGACATACATGTGTGTTGAATTGCAAATTTAAAATTAGAGGGGGGGAAAGCAACAAATTATTATGTTGCAATTTGGCCATGTATACATAATCTGTCCATTATATTTATAAATAGGTACTTATTTCTTCTTGTTTATTTTGTTTCTTTTTTGCATAAATATTATCATTTTTAAAAATAATGCTCTGAATATAACAATTTGTACCAGATAATTATGTGTTTTCTTTTAAAAATCAAATAATTTTAAAAAAATATGCAATATGAAAATTGGTGTATGTTTTTTTATATTTATTTAATAACAATATTATGTTGTAAACCATGATGTTTGAAATGCACGAATAATACGAGGAACTATTTGTGTTTTTTGAAATTTTTCTGTTTGTGCAGTTTTTTACAGTTTGTACATTTTTATACAGATAATTGTTTTTTCTAAATAATTATGTTATTTTATATTTGATACCAGGAAATGTATTGAATAATCTATTTGTGCCATTATTTAGCTATCTGTTTTTTAAACTTTTTACAAACTCAATGATTTTCCATATTTGTTTTGTCTTATAAGATTAAATGCCAAGTCTAAAAATAATGTATTGCAATATTTGTACCAATTTAAGAAGAATTGATAACAATTTATTAATCTAAATAAGAATTATAGGGAAAAAAATTCCTGAAATTCATCATTCAATTCTAGTTATTTATAACAAATTTCAACTCCAAAAGACTTCCAAAAGATATGTTTGAGAATAATTCTTTTATGTTTGTGCTTTTTTTTCTGGAGGTTGCAATTTCAAATTAAAACAGTAAATGATATTAATTTATTTTCCCTGTGTATTATATATTATTAGAAAGCACATGAAGCAAAAGTTATGTTTACGGGTATCAAAAAATTCTCTCCGTTGATTATAATGGATTAAATTTATAATTTCATCTATTAAAATCATTATTTCTAATCATTATTACCAGTTTTAATTTATCTGTTTCCAAAAAGGAAAAAATAATCTTAAGTTTTGGTTTATGAAATTATTTTGTTGAATACATTAAAGCACTATAATAATTTTTTTACATGACT